AGTCAAGGATAAGGTCCAGAACTGTCCATGCTGCATGGGCCAGATCAGAAGGTTTGTGGGCCAGGCTGCAGTCTGGGCATGAGCCTATGTGACAGAAATGCTTAATGCAGGGGGACTGACATTATTAGATCTTGTTAGACTACTCTGGAGGGAGGCCAGAGTAGATAGGAAAACTAGACCTACTTTAAGTGTTATTTCAGGATAACTGAAAGCCTGAAACAGCAGTTGGAGAAAACTAACATTTAATGTAAATCAACAGGACTGCATAACTGATTATAGAGGTGAGAATAAAATAAAGGTTTCATTGTCAAATGAGGTAGAACATCGAAGTATTAATGGGAGGAGGGACTTGGTAAGTTCATACTGGTTGCATTTGAGAAGGGGATATGTATTACACAGAGATGAAGATCCAGAGGCCTGGCCTGGAGACAGGAATCCAGGGAGGCTTTACTGGTCAGCTCATAGCTGACTGGCTGACATCAACATACTCGAGGGAAGAGCTCAAGACAGACACATTAAAAGACTCAAGAACCCTATGGATGACAAGTAGTCTCAAGGAAAGAATTATAGGAAGTGGCAAAGGTAGAAGAGGCCAAAGTTAAGAACCACATTTACTCATTTGGTATTCAGGAGGCCAGTGTTGTCAAGTAGGGATGAGACCAGATCGGAGAAGAGAAAATGCAAAGTGAGGCAGGACGCAGAGAGGAGGGAGATATGAACTGGGAGGTAGGTGAGCTGGGGTTCTCCAGGGGTAACTATGATTAAGAACGCAGGAAACGCGATCTTATTGCCCAAAGAAGGACTAGAAAGGCAGACAGAGGTTGAAAACAGTACTTTCAGGCTCAGGTATCTGGCTGAACATTTTTTAGAATTAACTTGTTACGAATTCACCAGGAAAACTAAGCACAACAGCTATTTTAAAAAAAAGTCTAAGGCTTACACTTTTTTCCCTTGGGAATAAACCGAAGCCAGCTTTGACAGGGATCTGGCCCGTTTACACAGAAACCCAAGCATGCACCTGCATTTGGCTCTTCTTTGCTTCATACTAAAGTACTTCCTGCCATTTAGAGCCAGCCTCTTGGCAGTGTTCTGCTGGGAATCTTAGCTTTCTCCACTGCCTATCACCCATGCCATTCTGCTCAGCTCCTTCCTCTTTTCTGGACCTTTCCAGAGATGACACAGCAGCTAGAGGGGGCAGGAACATGTACCATGCCCAGCCTTTTAATGTGGGTGGGGGGATTTGAACTCAGGTCCTCGTGACTGAATAGCACTTTACCTACTGGGCCGGCCATCTCCCCAGCCCTGGCCAAGCTAAAACTTTTCCTGTGGCTTTGTGACTATATACCTGTTCTTCTTTTCACCTCTTTAGCTATTGCTGGTTAGACTCCTTTCTCTGTTCATGACCAGCCATTTAACCTTCAAGAGTTGATTAAAGGTTAGCCCTAGATCTCGTCTTCTTTATTATAGATTGATACACTTTTTTTTGAAGAAAAAAAAAAAAAAAAGACAGTGATTATTTCAACTGTCATTGTGGCATGAAAACAACAAATGACCATAACTAAATGAATGGGTTTGGCTATGTTCCAATAAAATTAAAGCCAGGTAGTGGGCTAGATTTTGTCTGTGGCCAGGAGTTTGCGAATTCCTACTTCATACTCTCCAAAGCTGTCTCCTCTATAGTGCCTCCAGTGAGCATCTAAATATACACATCTAGAAGGGAGACACAACTGGACCTTCTGTCCCCAGCTCTAGTTACTTACTTACTATCTGCATTTAAATGTCTCCAAGCTTCTCAAAATGTAACACAGAAATTGTGCTCCTGTCAAGTCTGGAATCTTCCCATCATTCTTGGTAAGGATGCATGTGCATTGCCATCTAGAGCTGCAGAAGGCAGAACACAGGGAGCCCTCCTCTCTCAGCCTCTAATTATTTGGAGAAATGCCTAAAAAAGGTAGGCCTGGAAATGGCATTATTTGAAGCACACAGTCAAGTGCAACATTTCACTAACAGAACTAAACTTTATTTCCATGTTTATTACATGTTTATCTTTGATGTTGAGTACATTAGAACTGATTTAACATACAACTTGGGAGAAAGTTTGATATTCTCTACTGAATGGGTTAAAAAGGAATGTAAAGCTACAAAATATTAGTTTAAGTGTGAGTTTAAATTAAGATAAATACAATAATAAATACCTTGCTATTTTTCTCTAATGTTCCAAGATGGATTTCACTATAAAAGTTTTTTCATAACAACTTTTTGCAAGGAAGGGATAATCATAAAATCATTTAAGTATAGGGTACAAATAAATTAAGTCAACACAAAATTCCTACTTCCTACTTAAAATTATGAATTGAGGGGGATTAACTAATGTCAACTGCAAATCTAATGTCTTACACCTGCATATGTTATGTGCTTTTGTCAGGAAGAATTAGGTCAATCTAAGGGTGACACACAGCACACTTTGACATTCATATTAACCATTTGGTACCCAGAATGGGGATGGTCAAATACTGCCTAGGGACAGAAACTCAAAATCAATCAGTTCCAAGTGGCCCAGAGCCAACAATCACTCCACCTGCTGACCTATGTTGTGTACAAATGTATGTCTGCTTTCATTAAAAGTTTCAAGACAAAACTAGATATTCTGAGCTGCTGAAGTTCACGTTAACACAAAAAGTACTGCTTGCAATGTAACTCCAGTGTTTAAACATGGGCAAAAGTATGGTGGTTATCAAAAATAGTTTTTCTTAATATTCTATAAGCCCTGTAGTGTACTTTATCAAGTCATGCCTCCTTTTGGGAAGGAGAGACAAGTGTCTTATGTAGTCAGGTTGGCTTTGAACTTATAATTGTGTGTCTACCTGAGTACTGGGACTACCATGTACTGCTATACTCAACGAGGGCTATCCTTTTTTGGTACAACTAATCTTAGGTACATTCTGTATTTTTCCTGATGGAGGCTCATGTAGCCCAGGCTGGCCAGGAATTTGCTTTGTAGTTAAGGGATGACTTTGAACTTCTGAGTCTTCTATTTCTACTTGACAAGTTCATGGGATTACTTAGGTACATTTAAAAAAGACTAAAGTAATTTTTTATGCATAGACTACAGGATGAGGACTATTAACTAAAAATGAACAACGCTTATTGTTCTTTTTAAGTGTTTAGAATCATTTACAAAAACTTTTTTCCTAATGCCACTTATAAGACATTGAACAATTCACCTTATTAATCTAGTGATAAAATGTTAGTTTTCTAATGTAACTGTTTTAGATGATTTATGGTTTTTTAATGTAAAATTTCACTTTTAGTGTCAAGTTGTTAAAATTTTTCTAAATCAGTTTTCTAATATCAGACCATTAAATGAGAAAGAACAAGAGATGAGCTCCATAAAATTTAGCTTCCTCCCTTTTGAAAAACTACTTCTTTTAAATATAAAGGCATGCTGGTAGAATACACGCTAGCGAGCTTTCTATGTATTTTGTGGGAAGGACATAAAAGTGAACATTTCAGGCTCTGTGATTATTTAGTCTCTACTACAATTACTCAACTTCTGTTACTGAAGTGGGATGTGCCTTCATATATAATTACAAATGAAGGAACAGTCCACTAAAGTTGGCCTACAGGACCAAAGTTAGCCAATCCTCACCTTAGAACTAAGGTAGTGTTATGAGTCACTTGGAGGAAATTGGTCTCTAGTTCGATAAGATGACTGACTCAGAATCTAGTAGTAAATCACTCTAAATATTTTGATGCTGAACCCTTTAAATTTAGCCAACTTTCTGTGTTTAGGATTCTGTGAAGTTAGGATTCTTCTATTAAAAATCATGTAATCATGCTTTTCATTGGGGAAAACTTATCCTCATTCAAGAACTTGAGTACTGGTTACTGAGGGTTTCAAGTTAAAATTAATAAATGATGCCCATACAGTTTAATATCCAATTTAATTTTTAAAAAACTTAATGAAAATATAACAGAATCAAAACATTTAAAATAAGTACACTCACTACCCACTCCAGC